ATGCCTCATATTGCATCATCTATGAAAACTGGCTCATTAATATTTGATTAAAATCTCATTAAATATACTTTTGATCAGATTTGGAGACCCATTATTAAGTCTTGCTGTGCACACATAAGCGCATATCTCATACTCATAATATCAAAGGCTCCAATCTGCACAATGAGGCCAGCTGCTATTAGAGCTGTTATTTTCAAAAGATCACTATCTGGATTCATATTTTTGAAGCTCAGTTGTCACTATCCGGTGTGGTATGTAAAAAGAAGAACTGTCATAAGCAAACACTTGCTATAACTACTGGCATCTCCATACAGATGACCTGATGCCTGGACTGAGTCCAAAGTGCGGGTATTCATGTTTCGGTCTCAATGTAGTGTGTCAAGCACCTTCAAACAAATCCTGTGTGTGTGTGTGTGTGTGTGTGTGTGTGTGTGTGTGTGTGTTTCTGTGTGTGTGTGTTTCTGTGTGTGTGTGTGTGTGTTTCTGTGTGTGTGTGTGTGTGTGTGTGTGTGTGTGTGTGTGTGTGTGTGTGTGGTGTGTGTCTGTGTCTGTGTCTGTGTGTGTCTGTGTGTCCGTCCGTCCGTCCTCTGGCCATGTTGCACTGTTTTGACAAGTGCCACACAATCCCCCAGGGGAGAGCAGGGGGATTTCTCTGAACAAGGGGAGCTCTGCTTTTGTCAGAACAGATGAGGCCAAGAGCTGTTCAAGTAAGAGTCCCCGCTCTGACTGGTATCTCGGTACCACTGCAGCGACATTACGTTTTTTGGTTGTTTTTATAACTAATCTGTGTTTTGCCGCTGTCTGATCTTATGCTCAAGTGCTCCCCCTAACCATCAACCACAAGACCAAATATGTGCTATTTGTGTGTGTACTGTATGTCATAATGACTTCCTGTTTATCTACCAACATTTTCAATATCCTTAATCTCTGCCTCCATCTAAACTCAGATAAAAACAGCTATACAGAAAAAAGGAAGCATTTGACTGTGTCCTCCTTCCACCAAGGGAAGTTCTCCAAACCACTTCTAAGAAAATTTTAAAACTGGAGTGAAAGACTCGCAAAGAGAGACAGCTCATTTTTAGAAAAGAGCTACGTTGTCATTAAGTCCATAGTGTTTACCATTCGCCACACCTCCCTTAACCTAGGGTGAGTATCATTCCATAAAGTTGTCCGCATTGTGAGCCACTGTTCAACTTTTTTCCCCTGTAAGGATGCACTGATGAGGATTCTTCACTGCCTAAAAATATCACCCTTTTTTGACCTTGCTTTGACTTTTTGTTGATCATTTTAAAAAGCACTTTGTTTTAGTCGATGTCCGGCTGCCACCGTCAACAACCGACAGGTCCAATTCTCAAACAATTACCATCAATTCCACAAACACAGTCAAAATAATCCATAGAAAGTTCCAATTCAAATCACCGTAACAAACTACAAATGTATGTATAAATGTATGTTAAACCAGTGAGGTAATAAACATAATGGATTAACGTGTGTGGGTAAAAATACTGCAACCCAGTCCATCATCAAACTTAAAAGCCAGATGATTTTTTGACATAGCACTCATAAGCATCATCCGCTAACAGGCGTTTTTGACCATTGAAATGTGTCGACTTCTATTCTTGCTTATGAACTAGATCAACACCAAATGTAAATGTGACATTTAGCATTGGTAGTTGTTTCTCTGATCTATATTAGCCAAATTTATTTATTTAAGCCTCTTCATCCTTTTAATTAGTCAGGCCAAAAAGAAAAAAACAGTTCACTCCTTAAAAAAAAAAAAAAAAAAAGAGACAACCCACTCCTCACTCCCACTCCACTCTCAGCTGCTGTGGTTAGGCCTTTACAGAGTGTCTGTTTTCTGTTTGTTTCACGGCTGCTGCCCATTGTCTTTAAAGTAATAAGAGAGCTGGCACGTTGACCTAACAATAACAGTGACAGTGTTGAAGTGGTAAAATCCAAACGCTTGGCAGGTAAGCAAAGGAAGCAAAACTCCTACATAACATTGTTAACTGCATAACAAGTGAAAATGAAGAACAGGACCTCGATTGTCTGCTCCAGCTTAAGTATTATTAGTAAAAGGGGCATGCCATTTAATCAGGGCCATGGCCTTTGACCTGTCACACATAAAAGTTGTTGCTGTTCCTGCAGGATACTGACAGCAATTAATCTATCTGAAGGCCATTTTATTGTCACAATATTAAAAACTCAACAGAAGAGCTGCCTTTTAGAAATATGAGCAGTTACCTAATTAACATATGAACTGGTTAAGAGCACTAACTGCATGTGTTGCCAAAGAGTTTCTTGGCTCAGTTGACTAAAGGCTTCAGTTTGCGTCAGATGAACTAGCTCATACAATGCGTCAACCACCACATCTAAAGGCAAAGGTGTTTATACCTGTTCCGGTTGGCCACACTCAAAGGCCATCAGTGCCTGTTCTTGGCTCCTCCCACTTCCTCCCCTATCTCTCCAGGAATTGTGTGTCTTGTGCATGTGTTTATGGTCTTGACGCAATGAATCGTCTGAAAAGAGCTAAGCGCGCACATTTTTTGACAGTCTGTCTCGCCATTACACATTTGATCTGACATGCTCTTTGTCTGAAGTGTACTTCACATACAATATAATATATGTGAACTAATCAAATTAAGTTGCTGTCCTGTGGTAGCAATGCTGCAATCACATACAAGACAGCTAATGCATGATCCAGGTATGATGCATATGGAGTTACTACACCTGCATGGTAAATGTACTGTAGGTGAACTCTCTTGCTTTGGATTAAGAAACCCCAACAATGGGATACTACACATTTTCTATTTTTGTACCCCAATTACTAAACAGTTGACAAATCCAATGAAATGACTGAGTAATAATTTCATCACATTTTACAATTGCAGAATTGAATTTCTGTGTGTGCGCCAGCTTGCAAAACTAAGGTTCTAGTTCAAGTTCGAATTTGTCATCAATTTTCCATAAACAAGGATAAAGTTGAACAAAACGGCATTACTTTCTTGGACTGATTCCCAAAAACACCATAACATGGACAACACAGCAATGCAGACAAAAGAATCAACAAGTAAGCAAGCACCTAGAAGTGCATGTATCTAAAAACTAGCAACAGAGAATAGTATGATGTGTCAATACCTCTACGAGGCGAATGCAAACACATTTTTCATGCTCAACAAGTTAAGCTTAGTCAGTTCAGATGCATTTGCAACATTCTTGACTTTGCACTGAACCTTTGTCAGATGTCACCCAACATTTTTCTTCACTCAATGCTAACGAAAAAGCTGGAAGATTACTGCAAAACCTTCACGAAAGAGCAGTGTGCCCCAGAGCAAGGCAAGGAGGTAGCGTTATGAAAGGGAACGTGGCCCCTGGCTCTTCAGCTAAGGCCCGGGTCAGAGCAGAGAGCCACAGTAGTAATTACTGAGAGACTGATTGCTGACAGGACCTTCCAACAGCCTGTGGTTAACTGGATGGAGCTGACGGGGAGGAAGCTTCTGATGCACAGGCATGACAGATGCTCCGCTGATGACTTGTACTTTGGGGTGGTTCAGGGGCATTCTCCTTTCAAAAGTTACAAAAAAGAAACAATAAAGAAATACTTGTGCTCTTACACTTTTGAGAGTGAAGGATGGAGGCAAATCATAGCAGAGGCAAGACCAAATTACCCTCTAAAATGGCATTAATTCATTTTGTAAAAGATTTTTTGTTTGAAGTGCTTTCATGGAACATCTTTAGAATTTTAGAAGTGCCATCAGAGACTGTTACCTCCTCTGCTTTATTCAAAAATCACCCCTGCTAATTTTTAAGAGAAGATGTAATTTGTTCCAAATGGTAGATAGTTATTTTTGGAGTGAAACTCTTCAAACAGCAAGAGATGAGTTCTCCTTAAACAGATTTGAACCCACTTCACTGACAGAGTGGGAGGAATGTGTGACTGTGGCAGGCAAGGCATTGCCACAACTGGTACAGTGCACCATTTTCCAACTGGTTTATGCCAGTTTATTCCTCAGGGTGGTCATTTGAGAGCCCTTGGGATTGATCATTGCGACCATGTGGATGTTCCAACCTGGTATTTTAGTCAACCAATCTGTGCCATCTATGCGCCTGGTTGATTCAGCTGTGGTGACGGAGATGGCTGTATTTATTTTGGACAGAAGTGTTTGTTCCAGTTAAGAACTGATATATAGCTGCAGTGGCTAAGGCATGGTAGTGATGCCACAAATCATCTCTATTCATCTAATTTTCCTTTTGAGTGACTTGTGTCCTTTATAATTGTCTATTTACAGTATCTCACAAAAGTGAGTACATCTCTGTGGTTTAGACATTAATGGCTGTGTCGTGTTACTTTGAGGGGACAGCAAATTTACACTATTATACAAGCTATAGACTCACTACTTTACATTTTAGCAAAGTGTCGTTTATTCAGTGTTGTCACATGGAAAGATACAATCAAATATTTACAGAAATGTGAGGGGAGTACTCACTTTTGTGAGATACTGTACATTACATTTAGTCATTTATACACATATATACCAGAGGTCAGGGACAAATTGGTGAATGTCCCACGCCAAAGGCACATGTCTTATCCACTACTCCACTGTCACCCCCATACAATGCTTTGACAGGAGTATGATCTTGCTCTTACATATGTTGTGGTGTGCAGGATTTTGTAGTATGTTGCAAATCTTCAGCATTACAGCAATCAACTCTGCACAAGTAAAGACCCAGAAGCAACTTCACCCACTGAGCTTGTCCAGAAACCATACACAGCCCTGACTTTTAGTAGCTAATCTAAACCACATTAACTATTGGATCATAAAATCTCTAGATCATGCCAGTGTTAAGCAACCCAAACAACCAGACAATGACCATGAGAATTCATCAAAGCCACAACAAATAACAGACAACACAGAAATAAAACAAAGCACAACTGTGAGGTTGTAATGGTTAACTACAATATACCTGAGTGACTGAACCAAACTGCCACACTAACTTACCTCTGATGGTTTTTTGTGCTGGTGGCGGACCCATGTGCTGCTGGTGCCCGTATTCTTGGATGACCTGGACCACGACGTCACCTGACCTGCAGCAAATAAACGACATCAGTGTAATTAAGACTAACAAACCTCTTTTCTACTGAATAGTTTTTTAATTCACCAAGTGTTCTTTAGAGAATCACAAGCAAAAACATCAACATTTTTCTAGCAGACATATGAGCCTTTTCTGACCTTCCTTTGTCAGGTTTGTGACACAGATTTTCAGAGAAGCACTAAAAGAAAGCAGCCAAACAAAAACCTTCCCGGTGACTTTTCTGACGCCCGTGACAGAACCACCACTTTCAGGCAGTAGGCTTTTATTTGAAGCAGACTGATGATGATCTATTAAGAGGTTTAATAAGTAATGACAATATAAATAGCATCTTGTTACACAGTTAATCCATTGTGGTCCTTTACAATCTCATTAATACACAACTTAATGGCAATTAACCAGACACTGGAGCCAATATCCCACCCACCGCCTCAATCAGCAGCTCTGTGTGTGTTTTTCTGTGTGTATGTGAACAGATGAGTGCGCTGTTTTTCTGTAATTTTTTAAAACACAAACCTACTGCTACAGATTTAGCTGAACGCTCATTTTCATCTGTGCACCGTGAAGAAGGCTGTCATTAAAAATTGCATCACATTGGCAATTCGATTACATCACACTGGCATAATGGAAAACACAAATTTGCCAATACTGTGTAATATAGCACATTGTGACCGTGTGTGCGTGTGCGTGTGTGTGTGTGTGTGTGTGTGTGCGTGCATGTGCGTGCGCGCTGCCTCCCACTCAACATATTTCCCTTGCCACCACAGTGGTACTGCCACAGTGCTAATTTTACTTGTGACGTCTGAACAACTACCAGCTCAGAGGGCAGAACTGCTGTCAGGCTTGTCTTCTAAATTACTAACTCCCTCTCCCTTACCCTCTCCACATACAATTCACATGTGAACGTATATAGAGCCGTTAACACATCAGTGTAGTTTCCACATATGCATGCTAATAGTCACATACAGACACACGTTCGCACATATTTTGCTTACTTTGAGTCAATGTCTCAATCTCTTGGGAGTTGTATAGTTTTATAAACTCACTATTACACACACGCATAGACACACAAACACACTTCTGCCACAGCACAACAGGAAATATGGTGTGAATTGACAGGCATTCAAATGAATCCTCCACTCAGCTGTTCTGAATGGTGGTGTCAAAATGTACCGCTTAGCCCATATGGTGGGATACAATCTGTGCTGTATGTGTATGTACTCTGTGTGTGTGTGTGTGTGTGTGTGTGTGTGTGTGTGTGTGTGTGTGTGTGTGTCCCTGTCTTTATACCTTTAAAAGTATGCTGGGACAGGGAGACTCTAGAACAAACACATCAAAACCACAAACAAGGACATGGTGAGAGGGGTGGGGTGGCATTTGAAATAGTTTTGTCTATGTGTGCATCTGTGCTTTTGTGTGCTAGGTGTGCTCATTATTATTTACATTTCAAATAAACACATCTCAATTTCTCTCCAACACCAACAGGAGATTTTAGAGCGACGTGTTAGACACTTTTTATATACAGTCTGTGATTAGACAGCAGCACCAGAGAGACCTGGAGAATCTCTGCCAAGAAGCACTGAAGCTGTTGTGGAGGCTTGTGGTGGAACATCACCTTACTAAGACACATGTGTTGTTGTTTTTTTCATTTTTCATAGATTTGTATACAACTATGAGTGCGTGCATCCACAAGTCCCTGCCTAGGAGTGCTGTTATGTGCATGTGGTAGGGTATACACTTATATATTCAGTGGGACTGTGTGCTAATCTGCTGGACACTTTTTTGAGTGTACTCATCCATCTGCACTCCACTAGAGTGTGTGCCTGTGTGTGTGCCTGTGTGTGTGTGTGTGTGTGTGTCTGTGCATCACTGTGGCCAGATAACCAAACGGGCCACAGCGCAGTTGGAGGTTACCATCATGGCCGTGTGTTAATTAAAAGCCCTGCTTGGTACACAGCAGCCAAAATTATCATGGGCATCCTTCAATTAGAAACCTGATAACCTCCAGTCAACAGATGCAGCTGGAGCCCACGCCACACTGGCCAGGGGAAGCTAACAGCTAACAGCTAATTATAAAGCAGACAGCATGGCCTTCAGCATGAGGCTCAGTCAGGTCTGAAAAACAGCATGTTAAACCTGCTGTAAAATACTTTATACATGCAGACCTGTGACCACATAACAGTTAAACCTGCACGAGGTCACTTCAGTCTCTGGTGGCCCCACTGCAGTAAAACTGTCTTTTTTTAGGTTTTGAATAGCTATATTACACAGAATCTTCATTAAATTAGCAAACTGTTTTTTATGAAAAGTTAGGACACTCTTTATCAAGAGAGCCTACAGCTTTGAGAATTTCTATTACTTCCAAAAAAAACATTCTTGCATAAGCTTGAACTGACAAATGAAAGTAAGATTCCCTTTTCTATTACTGAAGAACCACTGTTTGTACTGAATTTTCTATTACACTGAAATAGGAAATTTGATTTAGCATGGAAGAAAACCACAAACCAAAATATTTCATTAAAATGTTTTATTCTGAAGTATAGAAAAATGTGCCAGAAGAAAACAGACCATACTTTTTTATAATATTTCATCTATCTGACTGTGCAACAGTAGAAAAAAAATAATATGTTTGGACAAGCACTCTCTGATAGTTGAAGGCAGTGTTAAGCAGTAATGCATAATATTTTTACTTTCCCCAGTAACTACTAGTGTAAGGGATTACTATTTTCAAAAGGGTTAATTATTCCAATAACGCTGCGTTACTGCGATACCAGAATGCGATTTGTTTGTTTTTTTGTCCAAGACGGCTATGTTATGATGCCACGTTTGTCCAGTTCCGCAGCAGATCAGGGGTATTTGAAGTTGGCTGCTAGTCCAAAAGCTAAACGAAAAATGGAGAAGAGCGAGATAAATATTCTTTCGACACCAGTTAAAGCATACAGATGAAGTCACTTTGCTTTGGTTTCTTATGTTGCATGGGATAAATCTTTGGTATTTAAATTTATTTAGCCTAATTATCAGCATACTATCTAAACTTCTCATCAGTTCAGCAATGCTTTTAGGGAAACACAAAACCAAAAGTGAGGTCCACTCTTGCACTTTGTTTTCTAGTTGATTAATGTATCTAATTTTCTGTCTCTGCTGGCCTGACACTGTCAGGGGAATGGCCAAACAAATATATTTGATTGTTATTACAAAGTGCACTGAGTAAAATGCCAAGAATTAGCCATGATGAACTGCCAAAAGCCAAATAAGAAGGTAATTTAAAATTAAATAACAATTGCTAGCTGTCTTCAATTCTCCTATTTTGTAGACAGCCATCAGCTTTGAGAGCCAAGTGTGCTTGTGTAACACTGTACCACTGTTTAAAGTTTATTATCAAATGATTTTCCAGCAGAAGCTGCTAGTGCTGGTAATGTGTTAGACTGGCCAGAAGTCTATCTCTTCCTGGCTATATCTGCCCTGTAGACGTTATAAAGATATATACAGCCCATGAGACATTCTTTATATACAATAGCCATGTTTCCATCCAATTGTCATGCGAATGTTAAGCGTACTTTTGAAATGTTGCAAAAAAGAAAAAAAAAGAAATTGCGAAATATGTGCATTTGCATCAGCTGGTTTGGAGCGAATAAACAAGGCTATGGCAAGTGTCGTTATGTCAGTAGTTGATGTTAGACAGGGCTGTAATAAACGAGACGTGTTCCAAACCAGCAACAAAACCAGCCACATGAACGTGATGGCCATTGATCTTAGAAAAATGGAGAGAGGTCCTCAGAAATGTGTTTCAAGCGGGCAAACTGCTACCAGCCATGTCTCCGCACGTTATGGGAATCCGGTGTTATGCGAGTTTTGCGTGCCTCCTGAGAATTGCATGCACCTCCAAATAATGCTTTTAAACGCTGTAATATCCTTTGTGGGGTTCATCAATGGGGATAAATGATTCTAAGTATATAGCCTATTCTATGAGCGTTTAGAGTCGTTAATATTTTATTACACTCAGAAGTAGCATTCATTGAGATTAAGCAAAAATATGCAGTGATAACCCCGTTTGATCAGTGTGCAGAGCAAAGTATCTGAAAAGGACCTTTAAGAGGTGAATGCATAATTCGGCAGAACAGATGAGGAAGGCTACCTGCCGAGATTTGCATCCACCTCTTTTCTCAGCACAAATGAGCGTTACCAGCTGCTAGGTGCATGAAATTCTTGCAGGTATCAGACGTGAGTTGCAAGTTCGCTACGTCAGAACTTATTTGTAGAAAGTGTTTCCATCTCCCATTTAGCGCATTTACTCTTTTTCGACAAAGGCAAAAACCACCTCAAGCGAAATTAAGGATTTTTTTTCGAATTTTGCCGTTTTTATCAACCTTTTCTAATGCAATGCTTCAAAATGCGCATTAAATAACGATGGAAACACAGCTAGTGAGACTTTATATACAGTCTGTAGTCTAAGTGGTTGTTGTCTGTGTCATGACTGGGAATTAAATGTATCTGCAAATCTATCAAACATGCATCCATCACCAAATATCCGTCAGCCTATTAACTACATGTTGTATGTGCTTAACATTGCTTCCAAAAGGTCTGATTTTCAAAGTAAATGGCACACCACAAATGTAAAATGCTGATTTTAATGAATTTGTGTACTAAGAGCCTGACTGATGAAGGTAGCAGCTTATTGTGCGGGCAGCTCCTAGACTGTACTCAGTACCGATATCTAGCTAGGTACAGATCAGCTGTAGGATTTGTCTGAGATCACCAAGCTCAGAAAATAATATGACATAGTGTGGTCTATCAAAGCATTTTTCACCACAGTGAAACTATTACTCTTAAAATATAATATTGGAAACATTTTATTAATGATATAAGAGTCAAACAAGAGAAGAGATGCAAAACGTAACCGGAGGGCGGAAGGGGGGGGAGGGAATTAAATCCAGGAAGTCACACACTGCAAGTGTGCAGTTGCAAACTGTGGTGATTTCACAGATATTGATCATCAAGTTAATTAAAACAAACCAAAATGTGATGTTGCTGAAGTTGTTTGATGTTACAAACCTTGCTAATTATGACTCTATTTTCTACTTTAAAGAATGCGTTTTCGTTATATGTAGGCCTATATTTTTATTAGTTTATTTATTTTTATATAACGGATTCAGTGCCGTTCATTTAGGGCACACTTACTGTGTCGAATGCGATTTCTGTAGAATAAAAGGTTAATTCCCGTTTCTTTTTCCAACACAATCTTTCTTGTGGCTGGTGTAAATCTCATGTGCGCTATCTTAACGCCTGCTTTTTCAGAGGCAGAGAATTAAAAACAAATCTGAGACCCATGGCTCTTGGGCAACCTATTCATATTTCGATAAGGGGAAGTCTTAATGACAAGAGAAGGGACGACAGTAAGAAAGTCTATATGGAGACTGAATACAAGAAATACCAGGCAGCTCAGCGTACAACAGCAGCACAGAAACTTTCTGACACTACCAGATTTCTTACTCCCTCTCACACACACACACACACACACACACACACACACTCTCCCTCTCGTTCCCTGAATTTCTCTCTCCAACTTACTGTCGGTGGTGTCGGAGTCGTTGCTGCTCGTGGAGTATTTCCTCCTCTTCTTTTCGCTCTCCATCTGTCAGGGGGGTGGCAGCAAGGGAGAGAGGAAGGGGGGCAAGAGAGAGAGAGAAAAATGACGAGTGAGAAGATGTTCACCATGAAGACACAAGTGTTAATGAAATAATGTGCTGATGGCACCAATCTGTCAGAGCCTTCGGCAGGCAGCCTGCCAGAATAAACTGACTTGATCACCGTTACACATTAGCACTTCGGACTTGCTGGGAACATCACAATGATACAGTTGTTCTGTTTCTTTGCATACAGTGGGAGTCCTTGTGCATGTCGACTGTGAATTCATCCTGCATTAGTGATGCATTCACTGGGAGCTATTGTACAAGTCCCCTTTTATGCATGTGCTTAAATACTGTAGGAGGTACATCTTTCTTCATTATCAGAGTACAACCAAATCAACACACGGCAAAACAAAACACATGCTTCTCAACCAACTAAATCTGGACACTTTTTGAAGCTTTAAGCAGAAGAGAATAGCTTTATTTCTTCTTAAGAACATTATCAATGAATCGCTGTGAAAACTAGTCCTGCAATCCAGCTTGATCGATAAAGAATACATTTTACTGGAATGTGTAAAGCTTTATGCAAAGGCTACAGTGGCCTAAAGGTACCCTGTGGAAGTTTAGACTTCTATCTATAGTAGCCCTATAGATTGAGCATTATTTTACAAAAAGCACCCCATTTTTCTTGTATCTCGTGCACGTGAATTAGGACGCACACAAGTGCACGGCTACGCAACACACATTCCTGCCAAGTTTCATGATATTTCTCTGATTGACAGTGACAGCAAAAGCCAGGCAGGACAATGGCAAATGTTTTATAAGGAAGGATATTCATTCATGCATTCAACATTTTGTTAGATCTGAGCAATACACACAATTAGTTTTGGTGAGTAACACTGAATTTAAGTGAAACTATGAAAATCAACTAATCAAAAGTTATTACAACTATAACACCATTACACAATATTTTAGTCACAAAGCTTCTATTGAATTGCTTCTCTCATCTGAAATCAAAGACCATCAGGTAGCAACATACTGTCCTTAACACAGCAGGTGCAGTCACAGCATCAGAAAGATAGAGAAGACACGTAAAGTTAAGAAGTGGTGTTTAAGGGGTAATCATTTACTAATTATTTCGACTGATTTGATTTCTATTTCTGCTGCAAGTTGACCATTTTTTGGAAAAAGCATAAAACTCTTGTGTGAATTTACATGCTTAAATGAACACCCAATTGCACCCATTTTCCAAGAGTGTAATGTATTCAATCCACAAGTGTTGCTTGGAGTATGCAATTTCACTTAAAAAAAAAAAGTAACAACCGCCGAGTACGAGTCTCACTTCAGAGCTAGAGAGGACAGAGGAAGATGTGAGAATAGAGGGGGGATAGCCAACATGGGGGTGCTTATAGGACATCTACTTTAGTAGATAGACGCTGGAAGTCAAACTCAATTTTCTGTGCAGAAAGGGGAAGAGAGAGAACAAGAAAGACATGTTTAGACTAAATAAATAAGGAGATGATACAGGCAAAAAGCTGTCCAAGAAAGAGTCAGAAAGACAAAGGAGGAATGTCAGAGAATGAGGACAGAGTGCAACATAAATTGAACAAGAACTGCCAGTAAAAAACTTTTTTTTTTAAATCATAAAATCTGACTATCCAGCACAAATGTGGAAAAAGTTATTTATCCAGTGAAAGATGAAACTGCACCTTTACAGCGTGTAAGAAAAGTTGCAAATAAAGCCAGTTGAAATGTGAAGAATGCTGATAAACAGCCCAAAGGCTCACTGAATTGTTTGATGAGTATGAAAATAATGTGAATCATATGCTACGACCTTCACAGTCAACAGATCTCCACCCAACTTAACACCTACGGGGAGATTTTTGGAAGGTAAAGCTGTCCCCACAGTAGAGATCCACAGACTTGGCCAATCTACAGTGTGTCAAGGAGCACTGAAGCTGGCATTTTATGTTCCCTTGTCCTTCAATTTGTCACCTATCACGCTTTGCTGTCATTGTGTATTAATGTGTGAATGTTAGTAAAGTCCCGGTGAGTCACTAAAGAAGATTCCACTGCACTTTTAGGCTAGAAAACAAGTACTATATACACACAGTCACAAGCATTGAAAAATATCTGACGGTCAATTTGTTAATCTGATGCAATATTCTGGTTCAAGATTAAGTACATTTTACTAGCATAAACTCTGGGGTTTATTGTCAAAGTGTCCCTGACTAGGATTAAAATGAAAAGAAAACGGGAAAATACAGATAAAGTCGGCAAAATAACAGCCTGAAGACATTTCTAATCTCTTGCCCTGGTCGCTTGAGGGGCAAAGATGGAAAAAATATGGAGTGCCACTAAGAGGGAAAAGGAGGGCATGGGTCAAGAGAGTCTGAAAGAGAGAGAAATGAAGCAAAAGACAGCGGTCAAGAAGTCAAAAGGAGGTTTTAGCATAGTGGTAGACGGAGGCAGGAGGCCAAGCCAAAAGAGGAGGAGGTGGGTTACAACGTTCAGTGTGGAACGGAGATTTATGTGGCCGTAAAACTGGGCTATTCCCTCTTATATGGGACTCTTCCTGTACCCCAGCCTCCCCGCCTGCCCTGCACACACTTAACTACTCTGACATTTATGCTGACAGAAAAACACAGTGCTCTTTGCTGCCCCTGACTATTTCCATTCCCAGGTCCTGCCATTTCACTCCTTCCCTCTTTCTCCTTTCCCTCCCCCTTCCCATCTTCCCCGTCTTACAATAACAGGGACACGGGGAGTCTGCAGAGTAAGGTTAAGTATATTATTGACTTCCACAGCCACACTCACTTCTCCCTCCATCTTTTCACCTCTTCCCCATCTGTCTAGCGCTACCTCGGCTTCCTGCCTTTGAGGAGAGTGGTTAAGTACATCATCGACTTCTTCCAGCTACGTCTGTCTGACTTCAAGTCTGCACGCTTGGATCCAGCTCAGGGTTTCCCCTCGCCTATTAAACTCTTTGGCGACCCACTTAATCCACACTCGGGGTACTTAAGTTTTTTTGTTGTTGTTTGTTTCGTTTATTTAAGCAGCCCATAGTTGCTCCAGACGCGTGCGACCTCTGACAAATATAGCAACTGAAAGTCGCTTTGGATAAAAGCGTCAGCTAAATGAATAAAATGTAAATGGCATGGCGGGGCACAGCGCATGGATGACCAGGGGAAAAATACAACATACATAATTACATTTGTTTTATTTCAATCAAATTCAGCTTGGCTTTTTATTTGTTGCTTCCCAAATACTGTCAATGATTGCTAAAAATTCAATCTAGTTCCGTGTGGTGGTGGTGCAGTAGTAAGTAAAAGGTCAGTTTTGACTAGGAATATTTACTCTGGTGTCTCACATGTCTTTGGTAGCTATACCTGTGGCTACAGCTGTGGAGGGTTATTTTCATTATTAGTTTAACTGAGTGGGGCTCCATCTATCAATGTGGAGGGTTTGATTTGTTGCAATAGATGTAAGAAACTCCTACACCACTTTAAGCGGATATTTCAGGTTTATGAACAGCATTTATCATGAGCTGGGAGGCATTTAATGCTTCCAAAATTCTACTAAAAAAACAAATGTTTTAGTTTGTAAGACAAGAGAGGATCTGAGAGAAATTTCTGATACGATAGTATGTCCAGCTTGACTAATAAACTTCATCAAATACATACAACTGACAGAGCTTGAGGGTGGGAAACCTGTAGAGTTGCTGACTGACACTACAGACGTACTGGTCGGTTGGGTGGTTGGTTGGTGAAATGTGAAGAGGAACAGCATGAACTTCACACCCATTACACTTTACTGGTGTAACTGCTTGCTGGCAGGCGAAAAGACAGCTGGTGACTCCATGTGTATTGGGGTAAACACACATCTGTCTACGCTATGGATGTATGAAAAGATGCTCACCTAGATCCTTGTGCAGCCCACAGCATACGCACATTAGCTACTACTTATCCCAGCTGGCTAATAAGAGACACTGAGATGACGTCACACTCAATAGCCAGACCAACAGTCAGGATTTAGAAGTAACAAAGCAAAATGACGATCCCAAATTGCGTAAAATAACAAACAAATGAAAGGCAGGAGACAAAAGGAACTGTACTGCTGGCTCCCAGAGGATTTCATAGATCAACAGTCAGGGAAGTACAATGGGCCTTGTCACAGTAGACAAAATGCAGGCGTAAATAATATGTTTATGCAGGAAAACACAAACACCCCCACACACATACATGCACACACAGCGCTTTTAAAATATCTGGAGCCTTAGGTCAGCAGATACGACTATCAAATATTAATAAATTATTCTTTAAAACACCTCAATAACTAAGGTTCAAGTGCTTTTGAATTGTACAAAGAGATAAATCCATTTAGATTTTTAGTTTTAGAGTGTTTATTTTCAAAACACCACTTTGGGCAAAAACAATTACCTACCAGTTAGTTCACAAAAGGTTTTGCATTTAACAGATGGTTGACAGTTTCAGTTTGGAGCAAAAACTTAAATTCAGTCCACCACTCTTGTCTTCACAGAAGAGGGGCAAAGAGTTCAGACTAACATATTAGTGAGCGTATTGCTTGTTGCAGATATTTGGTTTTGCTGACAATGCTAAACAGCCGTTAAGTGCATGAAACATACTCCCTGTTGTTGTCGTTGTGTGAAGTCAGTCCTCAATGATCCTCTAACTTTTTTTGTTATTACAGCAGCTGTTGGAGAATAATTTAGATTTTTGCTCCACATCTGTCCCAGTTTTGGTTCTACTTTCGGTGTTATCATTGTTAAACTGTTTTTGGGTACGCCCGTTATGATAAAAGCAGTAGCCAAACACTCGCTTGATTGCCAACTCAAAAGGCAAAACTGCACTGTCACCTTTCTCACTGAATTGATGCAGGAGGGAAACCAGTCACTTAAGACGAATTGTGGCTGCTAAAGTTATTTACCAAGCACTTTCACAACATAAACAATGACTTAGCCTATGTGTCCTACTTTACTGTGTAA